TTTTCTTATTATTATGGATACAAAAAGAGGTCATGGCTAATCATGCGCAGTGAAATACTGCAACAATAAGTCTAGGACTCTGTTGGTATTAGTTATTTTACTATGCCAAAAAATACAGAAAGGTAAATATATGGCATATTATATTATATATAATTTAATTTAATTGTTAATAATATTAATTTTAACATAACATACATGGCTACATCTATTTTATTATATTCTTTAGACGGTCCAAGTGGATTGAGCTATATCTGCCTGAATGTATCAACAAAAATGCATATATTCAGAATTTAAGAATTTGTAGTAAACACTTTGAGGACAAAATGTTCCTTAATGTCAACAAAAAAAACAGATTGTCAGATTTTGCTGTTCCTACATTATTCAGTGGTAAGATATTATTTAGATGTACTTAGGTCTTCAATTGAATATTATTATTGAAGACTTTTATACTGTGGATAGCTTGATTTTGATTTTCTTATTATTATGGATACAAAAAGAGGTCATGGCTAATCATGCGCAGTGAAATACTGCAACAATAAGTCTAGGACTCTGTTGGTATTAGTTATTTTACTATGCCAAAAAATACAGAAAGGTAAATATATGGCATATTATATTATATATAATTTAATTTAATTGTTAATAATATTAATTTTAACATAACATACATGGCTACATCTATTTTATTATATTCTTTAGACGGTCCAAGTGGATTGAGCTATATCTGCCTGAATGTATCAACAAAAATGCATATATTCAGAATTTAAGAATTTGTAGTAAACACTTTGAGGACAAAATGTTCCTTAATGTCAACAAAAAAAACAGATTGTCAGATTTTGCTGTTCCTACATTATTCAGTGGTAAGATATTATTTAGATGTACTTAGGTCTTCAATTGAATATTATTATTGAAGACTTTTATATTGTGGATAGCTCACTGGCTGGGTTTTCACAAAAATAGATACCCTTTACTAAATAATTTAATTCTAAATAATTTTAGATGAATTTCTTGCTAAAAGAGTATCAGAGAGTGATTCAACAATAAATGAAACACATGATCTTTCGACACCAATGGCATGCTCAAGCTTTATATTATGTACAAGTACAAGTAAGTTAATTCAATAATAAGTAATAATAAGGTTGTCGTTAGTACCTACTTCTAGTTTTTTCTTAATTAAAATACTTTAAAAATTCAGTCAAATCTTTACTTTTATAAATATTTTATTAATTTGTATTGTTATTATTTTTAGGCTTATTTTTAAATAATACTTCAGACTCATCTTCTCAGACACCAGAGCATTTATCATACTCTACACCTAGGAAAGTTGTTTTAAGAACAGAATTGAAAGAAGCCGAGGAAAAAATTAAGAGTTTGGAAAAAACTGTTGCAACTTTAAGTAACATATTAGCTAAAAAGTCTAAAAAAAAAGTAGAAAATTAGCAACATTAAAACATATTTTGTAATTATTAATTATTAATTAACATTATATTTTGTTTCTATGTATCAATGTGTTTACGAAATTTGGAGATGACTGAACATTTTTTTTCCAAATGTGTGTTTTTCATGCTTAATTTGATGATACTTCCAAAAAAGTGGCTCAAACTATTGAAAGTTTTTTGAGCTTAACTTGAAAGTACCATCAAATTTGAAATTAAGCTAGTTTAAACACAAATTTTAAAGAAGATAATTATCAAGGAATGGATTGGGTACCTAAACTGCATTTATAGCTAATTATAATCTAATTGTAGTTTTCATATATATATATTTCATGTACTTATGTAAAATTACATAGGTAACAACCCACTGGTATAAAATTAAACTCATTGACTTTAACATATAACAAAAATATTATAAATAAGAAAAAAATATAAGTACAGTCAAAACTCTTTATAACGAAACTCTTTACAACGAAAAACTCTATACAATAAATATAGGTATTTAATCACTATAAATGTTAGGAACACAAAAATGGTATAAATATTTATATAAGAATTATAAATTTTAGAATGTTATAATTGACAACTTACCAATTTAAATGCTTTTTTTACTTGAAATTTTCTAGCTCTTAAAAATTTCAGCATAAATGCATCATCCATTCTTGATTTCAAAAGAATATCACCTTTAAAGATTAACAGACTATTTAGCAATAATAAAATATTTTTATGTACCTAATGAAGGTGTTAATCTCAAATAAATAAGAAGTTATGTATTGTAAGAACACATAGATATTTGTTATTTTTTTATAATTTATTAGGAAATGTATCTTCATGCAGCTACATATAGTGTATTGGATACTACAACATTTACACATATACATAATAAAAATTGCAAATAGTTGAGCTTCGCCCGATTGCGGATCAAAGTAACCTTTTTACCTATAACCGTATCAAGGTTCCGGGCCTTATATAGTTTTAAGAAAATACGATTTGCAGTCGGTCTCAAAAAATTAAATAAATAAAAGTAAAACATTCGGTTACCGCTTCACAAAAAGAGGTTATATTTCATGAGGATGAGACTTGGTGCAATCCTTTTGACTGTATACAAAAACTTAATTTAAACAATACCATAAAATCAAACAGCGACACATATCAAAAAGAACTGACATTAGGTGCAAGAAACTAAACTAGCAAAGGCAAACGCCTCGTCATTGTACACATTGAGTTACAAAAAGGTTTTGTTAACATAGGTCTACTTTGTTTTTTATGTAAAACTTCATTCCATGAAGGAAGAAGAAAATCCTGTATCGTTGTAGAAAAAGACAGATATTATGGAATGGCTCAAACAGAAAAAAATTAACATTTGACAATGTTAAACCAGAGCTATTTTCTCTAGCATTTTAAAAACATGTAGTTGACGAAGTAGCAAAGACATAAGACAAAGGAAGATATCGCAGTAATAAAACATTTACATAGAAAACCGATTCAAAACAAAATCCCAAATAACTTTAATACATCCAGTAAAAATATGGATGAAGAATTAGATGAACACACAATGACTTGTTAATATTTGGAGACTGGACGGGAAAACCAACATAACTATCGTATCTCACATTTTTAACCAATTAAAAAAAAACCAAGACTAAGGACAAATTTTGAATTATTTGATTGAGACGTTTTCAAAATAAATCGGGTTCTACTTTCTCGCAACAGCAAAGCATATCAAAAAGAACTGACATTAGGTGCAAGACACCAAACTAGCAAAGTTAAACGCCTCGTCATTGTACACATTGAGTCACCAAAATGTTTTGTTAACACAGGTCTACTTTGTTTTTTATGTAAAACTAATAGTAGTGATTACCATTGTGAAATGAATTTTGACTGCTTCATAAAATGATTTACAAATATGCTGTCATTATTGGATTTAATTTTTGAAATACCTTTAATTAATCTACGTAGTTCATCAATAGCTAGCTGAGGATCGGTTGGTTCATTAAGTTCTTTTTGTAATGTAAATTTACATTCGGACGAATCAATTTGAAATCCTGACATTTTAAACACAATAAAATTCAACAGGCATCGAAATTGTACACATCTATGTTAAGTTATATAGTATAGTAAAAACTGAAGTAAAATAATCAAATACGCAATATTAGATATAGACTGATCATTGCGTATTTTTTAAAAATATATATTTTGCAAAAAACATCACCGGACATTGATAAATATCTACACATACAATAATCATATTGTATAGTAGATATTATACTATATTATATGCATCCTGCATGTAGGTACCAATTAAAATAAATGCATGGGTACTATATTTTTTTAGCTAGAAATATTTTTTGAATCATGAAGGTTAGCAAAATAAACAAACAGTCTATACCATTGTTATTGTAAATGCAAAAAAAATATTATTCTATAATACAATTAAATATTATTCAGGTAGGTACACAGAAAAAATTAATAAACAGGATAAAAATGTCATAAAGCATAAATAGCAATAAGTCAATTGATCAATTTTAATATAATTAGAAAAAATCAACTTAACCGTCTCAGCTTAAGTATGAGACTAATTAAAATAAAATTCACAAAATTAAAAAAAAATTCCCACAACATGAGTAATGATGCCCATAGTCCATAAAAAAAGCTTGCCGACAAGTTGGGAAATGCGTAAATCTTCATTTTGTGATTGTGTTTCCATAGATTTAATTTACTTTTGAGAGCCTTAATATGGTCATTTATTGCTGTTATTAATTTTTTTTTTTTGTAATATTTTTCGTTATTAGGAAGTACACATAACATATTACTTGAACGCAACTCATGTGACGTACAGTACCTAATTGATATCTTGACTGTTATAATAGTAAAGTTAAATTTTTGTAATATTGCTTTTTTTAAAAAGCAAAAAAAAGTGCAATAAAAAAAAGAAAAGAAGTTCAATATTTGGATTTGTTATAATCATTACAAATATTTTTAATATCTTAGTATGTACTTACCTATAATCGTCAAATAACCTTGTATTCTTATATACTCTCTATACTTTCTATCTGTTTTATTAGAATTAGACTAGTTCAACACCAATTGACTATGAAAATATTATTTCCCGCAGCCGCAATGAAAATTAATTTGTGTAATCAAAATTATAATTTACTTTCTGAAAATGTGTATATGTTCTTAGGTACACATCCAAAAGTGATATATTGTAATACATTTGAATAGTTATATACTTTTAATGATAGTTGTATTTATTGATACCTATACTCAAGCCTAACAATATGTCAATATGTATCATAACTCTACGTAGAGATAACTTATATACCATGGAAAAAATAAAAGTAAGTAGTACCTATGTAGGTACAACTATAATATAGGTACTATTATATTTGTTCATACTGTGAATACAATAATTTGTGTGTAAAAGATGATTTCAATTTAGGAGTCCACTTGTGTCATGTAACTAACTCGTATAGATTAAATACACCGTTTAACGTTCCCCTTCTTCAGGCGAGATCACTTAATTGACCCTTTCAGAGCAGCAAACTGAATCCGCTCTACTACCGACAACCATCGTGGCATCGTATACGTTGTTAGTCGTCGTCGTGCGCGTTATTATATTAATGTAATATTAGCGACTACCGGTGTAGTCTCCCGGCGCTCTATCGATTTATAAAAACGTGTACGTAATTCAATAACATACATGGTTCTTATTTTTTTCGTTTAATCATCTATTCACTTCTCGACACTACTCGAACTCTGACTGCAATCTTCTGCGAGTATATTATACCTATATTTAGTATATATGATCCATTTATTGAAGGTACCTATATCAGATACCCGTTGGCCGGCGGAGAATTGCATCTAGGTAAATACGTATTATAATAATGCATCAAACGATGTCGTATTCAAATGCCGCGGTTCTGTTTACGTTCCTGTGGGCAACGATCTCATGCCTGTGCTACAACACTGACTGTGATTTCACTGAAAGGTGGGTACCTACATTTTTAAATAACAGTGGCGCATTTTAATCGGTACAAGGGTGTCTGCTATACAATTTGGTATGGTTGTTGTGACCTGTGCCTTATTTGAGTTATTATGAAAATATAATAATTGCAAGAACATGTTTTAACCATATTTAAGCACTGGATGGTGGGTATGTATTTTCAAAAAATAGGCTTGACACCTACTATTTGAACAGTTACTCCGTAAATAACATATGATATTAATGGCTTAGAATACACCTATATATAGTTAATTTAACAATATTATGTGTTGAAAGTTACGATGAGGTCATCACAGTTAGTATCAACGAACCGGTGCAAGTAACCAAGTACAAATGGTGCTTGGACATACCACCAAGATGTCCAGACAACAAACGAGAATTCAGGACAGTACGCAGGAACGTTGTTAGTGATCGGTAAACGACATTTTCGTATTTTATTTCCGTATTAAATTTCCTTATTTTTTTTTTTTAGTCAGTACCTAAAATGCGTAAGGTGAAGAGATGTTGTGAGGATCAAATCCAGCTGTACGATAATTGTGTCCCTAGATGTGCTGAAGACCAGTGTCCAAATATTCAATGTGCACCAGGTACTGACAGATGCAAATGCAAGTCTGGATACATAGGTCATTTATGTAAACAAAGTTAGTACCTACCTACCAATTTATTTTAATAATAGTAAAATTTAAAAAATGTCTTTTGTGCACAAACAATAATTTTAAAAATGTAACAATAATATTATAATTTATGACAATAAATAATAATAATAATATGCATTAATATATACATAATATAACACTATAATAAGTATATATTCATCCCTAAAATAAATTGCAAAAAATGTAATCATTTCTTATTGGGTAGGTAACTACTGTTACAACCAATAATATGATGTCTGAAAAGTAAACTGTCACTTAAGGCATAATAATATACCATATACGAACGATTCACACCTCACACGATTCCTAGAAGAACTAGACTGGATGATGTTCATGTTTGGTATGGGTCATAACTCATAATCCTAGTCAAGTCTGCAGTACTCAATACTCTATAGTCTATATTCATATAATTTGCATACAAATATGTCATAACTTTGTATAGCATTTATATAATTTATTCTTACAAATACCTATATCTTTTGAAGATGTTTTATCGTTTTATTTTTCGTCACATTTAATTAGTGAAATTGTCGACTCTCTAGCATAGGCGCACATTCAGTCTTAAATTTGGGAGTGCTAAAATGTTTTAGTCCAAAGTGACCCGTGAGGGGCTTTGCCCCCACTCCCCCTATACGGTTATACGTACCAAACATAAGTTAATTTGATTTTAAATAAAATCATAAATCACAACATTAAAAAAAATCAAAGTAGTAAATCAAATTTTCAATAAGTATTATTTTTTCCAATGTATAATCTGTTGAATACTTTCCTTTAAATAATAAACCAATGAACTAAATTGTTTTACTAATCAATAAACTATATATATATCTAAAAGAATTACAAATTAAAAATAAATTATATTAAATCTAATCTTCTTAGTTTTTTAGCAAACTTATTAATTATATCGTCATTTTTTAATCCGTGTGTTAGGTCTCTATTTGTTTTATTACATTTAAATATTCTAAATATATTTAAACAATCAATATTATCTAAGGACACAAATGAAATATAAATTACATAAATTACTTTACACCGCACAAGTAAATTTTTGGTTGATATTATGTAGAAAAATGGAGAGAATAAAAAAATAAAATTAGTCAATATTAGCTAGTTTTATTGTCATTTGTCACTGATACCAGAACACGATTGAACTAATGGAATCAACTATCTTTGATTCATATTTCATGGTATTACACTGCTACTAAGAAAAGACGGATGACGGTTGAAAATGTCTGTACTATCAAACTAAATAATATTAATTAATATCATTATTTTCATAAACAATACACCATAACACCGGTATATAGGGCGGTATACAAAAACAAGATCCTATTCAGTATTCCAGTAATAAAATAATACTAATAATAAACTCGTGTTAAAACCGCCGATAAGATAACATGCTTTATAAATAGGTATCATACTAACACCACAAACCCAATCACCTAATACGGAAAAATATGTATATAAAGTATGTGGTACAACAATACAACCTAGAAACTCATTCTCATTTCTTATGAACGCAAAATTACATTTTAAACAATATTTTTAGCTCAATATAAATTGGACCAGTTTGTGGTGGTAACCTAACCTAACCTAACCCCCTGGCACCCCCGTATGTGCAATGTACTATACATTGCTCTCCAGGATTGGGTGATACATTATTATCCGTGTAGGTATTATTAGTATTTTAAGTATCTCGCTATTTTCTTAAGATGTTTAATACATCTATACTTCATAATAGTACTTAAAGCACTCTGTCATGTAGATATATTTAAAGAAAATTACCCCCAAACACCTCTTCCCCCGGAGCCAGTAATAATCTCGCTGAGATACTTGGTTACATGCTGCCGCTGTATATTGTTGCGACAATTTAAGTGTCATTGAAAATGTGATTTCCAAAATTGAAATAGATGTTGTTTCAGCATCCTAACTCCAATGAATAAATACTTAATTTGAATGTATTCCCAATAATTAATGTTAATAAAATAGCAATAAAATGTAGTGTTGTATAATTTATATTTACCTACTTATTTTACACATTTTTTTTTCAAGAATAAAAACATTTTTTTTACATATCTTGTATTTTTAATTACATATTTATATAAAATTAAATACATATATATGTACATCTTTTTGAATTTTGAATACATACAAATCCGCGCCCTAATTATAACTTATAATATTGGTGTTGACGTCGAAGAGCAAAGGGCCATTTATATTATAATTTAATTCAGTTAGGCCACGATTTTATAATCGTGAGGGCTAGAAGAGCCTATTGTTTTTATAATATTAATTTGTGAAGTTAAATTTTGGCCACGATGCGCCACCGTGTATATGCACCGTATACTGTGTCGGCGCAAATTCAATTTATACTGTTTAAATATTTCTTAATATGCGTACTGGCATTTTATAATGATATAATATAGTAGGTACTGTTATTGTAAACGTTAAATACAATATTATTTTTTTTCAATATTTTCTTTCCCATTTTATGAGACTTAATAATATTATTTTATTAACATAATTTCTAGTTTTCCAATTCGACGACAGATGAAAATAATTTTATCGAAAACGAGTATAACAGCAATCATACATGGTATGTTGTCGATGTAAGTTCAAAGATACTATTTTTATAAGTGTACTATAGGTACTGATTGAAATTATCTATACAACACATATTAAAAAAAAACCTTAAAATAAACAAATTGAACGTAATATTTGTAAAAATGAGCTTAAAAATGCAATAAAATGCATTTAACATAAAAAGTTCATAAAATGCAAAAAATATAAAAATAAAAAAATAAAATTTACATAAGCATAAATTGCTATATCACGAAACAAATTTAGTTTTTGGTTAGAACTGTATAGGAATTAAAGAATAAAAAATGCAAAAGTCACCAAAATCCTAGCTCTTGTAATAATAGGTATATAATATATTATCGGTCACACACACACGCACACACACACGATAATCACCTCTGTACTGTTTTTTTTTTTTTTTTGTTATAATTATTATTGAATGTGTCTTGTGAATTATACAACATGTAGATAATCAACTCGGTATCGCACGCCACCTCACCGTCTGCGAGAATTTAACAGCACGATTTAAGATACACAGGTTGCCCATTGGCATATGATAAGATGAGTAGCAAATGAGATCTTCATGGTACTGGAAATAACAGCAAGCACTTTCTGTGAGAGAAAAGTAGATTACCGTGTGGCTGCCGGCTGCCTGCTGAATTTTAAATTGTCTATTTTAAATTTTGTAATTGCTTTTGCTAATTTAATTTAACAATTTTATATTATTTTGAAAACATTTTATTGAAGTTTGCCTTCAATCTGTACAAGTTTCACAGTAATTTAATATTATTAGGTAAGTTTTATTGATTTTATTGTTTTATTATAATAATCAAGCTGTAATACAACCAATATAATTATTAGTCCTGATTACACTTTGCAGTTAACACATACGAGTACGAAAAACCACATTCTTCCAAAATATATTCCACTAAATATACTCAGATATCCATGACCTAATAATATCCTCTTCCTTGAAACGCTTTAGGCAAATGTGAAAGTTTTCATTTAATATCATACCTAGTGCATTTCCCCACAAATTTAATAACTTTTAGGGTATACCAAAAGTACTACTTTTGTATAGTGTTTCACAATAAGGAATGCATCACTTCATTTTATTATATTTTTCCAATTTGAATAAGTATTTTTTTATAGTTTTAAGATATCCTATGAAAGTATGAAGTCTCAAATCTCAAGTGTAGTGGAAATAATACCATACGTTATAAAAAATAACAAAGTTTTGTATGCAGCTAAGTAATAAGTACCTAAATCACTTAAAGTATTTATATATATTATCTTAAATCGTGGAATAGGATCTATGACATAAATTCAAATTATTACCTAAGTTTTTCCACAGCTGTGAGTCAATCTCGTCTTCAAACTTAAATCATATTGGCATAGGTCGATGGGCAACCTGTATATCTTAAATCGTGTTTAACAGTAACACGGCCGCCGTGATTTTTACCCATTACACAGTACACTTAAAAGTCTAATATTCATGGAATCTGTGTGTTTCAGGATGTGATATTGGGCGCTGGGGCTTGAACTGCGCGAATGTCTGCGACAAGGCGTGCCCGGACTGCGACCACCGGACCGGATGCTGTAAGACGGCTGCTACCGGATTGTCGATTTTCTGCGGCGGCGGCACCGGTCGGCTGCCGGCCCGACAGACAGTAGCTGTCGGCAGCAGCAACGGTACCGTACGCAAAACCAACGACGGCCGCAACTGCACGTCGGAACGCAAAACCGACGAAGTGGTGGCGGCGGTGGACCGTTCGAGTTCGACGCGATTCCGGATGTTGAGTACCACCATACGACTCCAGACGGCTACGTGGGAACCCACGGCTGTGGACGAAGTGAACGAGACGAAAATCGAAAGCACCGCGGGGAAACAGCCGGCGACTGAGACGACGTTCACTCCGCTGGAAGCGACGGCTTTGAAGTACGACGAGCTGGTGACGAGGCTCGTGTGGATATTCGCCATGACCGTGGTGGCCATCGCCATGCTGTTCGTCATCATGTTCGTGGTGTTCTTCAACTGTTATGGGGCGTCCAAATCGGAAAACGCCAACACCGCTGCCACCCGAAACCCGTGGCCGCAGCAGAGCACCGACAAAGTCCGTGGTACGATGGCATATAACGGCCACAGCAGCGACTCGCCTATATACACAACTTTGAAGTCGTTGTTGTCACAGCCATGTCGTACGGCGGCCATAATAATACATATCATATCAATAATTATTTATTGAAGAGTTGGGTGTCGTAGAGGTGAAGATGACATTTTTTTCAAGAATCGTTTTTACGTACGGATTTAGTCGGTCAGTCGAACTATTAACTTCAGAGCGACCCAGCTTACAATAACTTTCATATTATACTATATCTATTACGCTCGTATTAAACTGTTACCACATAACATGATTAAAGTACCTACCTATGTAGATATGTTGTATGTGAACAGTTAAAAAAAATTGCTTGACGCGTTTAGAAACTCAACCCTTCAATAATCGATAGGTATTGAATATTATACATAGTGATAGGCAGCGGCAAACGATAAATTCATTATTTAAACACTGAGATACTTTGTTGATATTATAACCTAACTATAGATATATAATTATCAGGACTCGTAAAATCATGCACGAAAAAATGTTTCTGTATGTATGGAATCATTGTACTAAAAATGAACAAATAATAATATTTTCTAGTAAAAAGTTTTAAATTACTTGTAGGTTGCAATACCTGCAGTTCAATACAGTTTCATAGCCATAATAAGTTACTATGAAAAAATTATTTTTTAAGTTTTTAACGACACGTTATCTCCTCCTATAATGATATTTTTTCAATCATTCAACAGTCCAAATGTATTGTTTACATTATTTTTAAAAGCTGTAGGAAGTAATTAGTATAGGTACCTACTTCTAAGGTTTACCAAATTTAGTTTTTGAAAAAAGTGTGTAAACTCGTACATACATCATAACCATATATCATACGAACACCACCATTGGCACTCCTCTTTCGTCTACAATGACATCAGAATTCAGAATCATATTTTCTCTAAATAAATGGTGTAAAAATATCAACGAACTTTCTCTGGTATGAATTCAAAAATATTCGAAAACATCTTACTAGTTGAAGGCCTGCTACAGCCCTCCCTCTATGTCTCCTGTACATTTTTCGTTTGTTATATTAATATTCTAAGTCAATTTTAAATTATTTCATTATTATAATTCATTTTTATAGTAATTAATCAAGCCACTGTTTGAAGCACTCGCTGCTACAGCATCTTTTCACGTCTTCTCTGTGTTATTTTCATGTTACCTCTGCGTGGACCAACACCGCCGTGTACATTAATACTTGATAGTATTTTATTTATTTATTATTATCAAGTCTGATTTTTATTTTATGTGTCTCAAATATAGTCGTTAGCTCCGATGTCATTGATTATACTTTAAAAGTTGAACCAGAACCACATTCATTTTCTTCTATACTATCGCTCTTCTTTATCGGTACCTCATTAAACATCATCTGCGTCTTTAATAACTATGTATAGGTACGGTCTTTGTTCGATTTTCCTCTTCATTGCACAGCGTTTGTAAATTATTATTTTGTTCATTATATTAATCCTTAGCTGGTTTTCGTAACATTTTTATTTATTTATTTTACAGAAACATGTATCACATCACAAAACCTATGTCATGTGCCTCCAGATAGATACACAAAAACTCCTACACTATATGCGTGTAAGCAATGATTATATAATATTATAATAATTATTATATTTAAGGTATAAAATAGGTATATATAATCAAGTATTTATGGTTTTAACTATATTAGTAAATCAATAATTTTATTCATTCACGAAATATTGATCATTGATTCATTTTTAGCTACCAATGTTGATTTACCAATTCATCCAGAAATATTTTGTCCAGTTTTCTCAGCACCTCATTACACAGGTAATAATAAAAATCATTTACATAGGTATCAATACAATAGATTTCAATTGAATTAAAAACTTTTTTTAATATTAATTTAAGATGGTAACAAATTGGTACCAACTCGATATATTTGACATTGAGTGATAAAATAAGACAATAAAAATATCTTATATTTACGAAAATTAACAATGTGTATTACATAAAGATTTAAAAGCGGCATTGTTTTATCTTCAACTAAAACTAATTTGGAATTTGCTTATAAAAATCGATATTTTATATAATGTAAATGGAACATTTCAATATTTCACCAAATATTTTTGTCAATTATTTACTATTCATGCATTAATAAATAATCATTACATACCTCTTGCTTTTTTTTTGAAAAGATATAATAAGTGAACAAACATATACTGCTATATGTAATGTAGTGCTTACAAATAGATAGTAATTTTAAGCCAAACCTAATTTATATTGACTTTGAAAAAGACAATCACAATTTTATAACATGTGTATGACCAAATATTTCTATAAAAGGTAGATTTGCTTGGTGGCTTCAAATTCAGTCACTCGGATTAGCTTCATTATATTATTCTCATGACGATTCGATTAAACAATATTTAACGCACGTATTTGACCTATCGTTTTGGAACCTAGAGAAAGTCGGAGATATGTTTTCAGTGGAAATAGCAGCCTTTAGATGACAAAATAATCCAATTTTCAGACTATTTAATAGATACATATATTATATCTAATTTTTCTTCCTCATTTATTAACAGAAAAAAGTTCAAGCACTCAGCGCACAACCAATTCATGCGAATATTTACATAGCAAATTGAATAGCTATTATGAGGCCTCGCATCATCCTAATATATTATATAAATGTATCGAAGTTTTAATACTAATTCAGGCCGAGACTAATTGTAATACAAAGTTTTAAAAGTTTTAATAAACCACATGCATGATGACAAATTAGAAACAAAATAATTTTCATTGATACTCAAATAAGAATGGCGAATGAAAAAAAAATATCGAATTTTGAGCACTTACAAATATTGACTAAAAATGTAAACCTATAAGCAATGTTATGATAATAAATAACTTTTTTTACCATTATACTGAAGTTAATATTTTTTTATTGACTTATTACTATCACCTGTTTTGTATTGAACGTTTGTTTTATTATTTTTATAGCTGTATCATCATGTATAATATGTTGTATTTAATTTTTGTATAAATGCCGTATATTGTATATTTAAAAGTGATATTTTTTAACTCCAATATTTATTTTTAAATATACAACACAATTTATTATATCTACATGTGTTATATTTCAGTGAATTTTATGAATCACAATACCGCACATTACTTTTATAATATACCTACTTAATATTGATATTGTAGATGTACATAAAGTTCATCGAAAGCAACTATCGTACCTTTTTATTTACGATAAGGATGGCTGATGAGAAGCACTTCGTATATTTTGGGGGGCAACTAGTATGCATCGGAAATTTGTCTTTAAATCATGAACATTTTTACAATTATCTATTTATCTATATGTTATAAAAGTAAAAAAGATGTATTTGTTACCGATGTTATTCATATTTGTTAATATTGACTTGAAACAAATAACCAGACAGGTTATTTATAATATTAATTAATTATAAATATAATAATTCATAATGATTAATTAAAAACTTTTTTTCAGGTGGATCGTCACTGTATGATTCTCCACAACCATTGTATGAAATTTTATGTTGAGCAACATTATCAATATACATAACATTATGGTTCATAATTTATTTCTAAGAATTATAAATAAGAAAGTAGTATCCTATTATAGTGTAATAAAACATTACATTAAAGATTTGTTAATTATTCATACTATTTTTAATTTGAAAATTACTACCTAGGTATTATGTTATACCTCATGCCTAACACAGTGGAAAAAATGCTACCCATAGATTTCATTTAAAATAATTTATGTAACACACAAAATGTTATACCTATTTATTATTTACTTTATTACCCATATAAAAGGTTACATCAATGTTATAACTTATAATAATAACCAAATTAGGTGGTTTATTAATAATAAACAAATAATAAACAATATCAACAATGCTATCCGTATAATAACATGAAATTAAACATATATTTATATATATGCCACCTATGTAACTACTTAAGTACATGCCTACGTCATTATGTCTCCAGTCCTTGTTCTTTATTTGTAACAACGTTAAAAAGTCCTAAGACATATCGCTAATTGCTCATGTTTTTGTCATTTTTATCGTAAACACAATATTTGTAAAGATATTGTTAAAAAACTAAAAACATGTTAACTAAAATCCACTAAATACCCCCTCCCCCTTGAGTTTATTATATTCAAATTTATTAGGTACATTGTGACTTGTGAGAAATACTAGTTATATTCAGCATTACGTTTCGTTATAACGATAATAACGTCCCACTACCCAAAAGTTTGATGATATTAAAAAAAATGTTATTAAGTATGAATAGGTAGTATCTGTTGGATACATTTTAATTACCCCCCCCCCCCCTATTGACAAATTTCCTTATCTGCCCTTAGTCGGGGCGCTTTCTGCTTTTACTTCTACATATATGAAAACAAAACATGTTAAATGTTAAGTATTAAACCTCTTTTGTCAGTATTCTATTGGGGCAGTGCTCTCTATGACTCGTGTTGCGTACCAACAGTGCATGATCCGCGCCCGCACTACATATTGTCGAGGGCCGTGGTCATGTCGTCGCGGAAATCGATCGAAACGGCGGCGGACGGTCATCGCCGACGGTACGTGTCGTATAGTCAGCAGTATATTACCCACCTCTACCTGCGATCCTGTATAATATTATATTTTTATATTTTAATACATCAGTAATAATCGTAACCGCATTATAGAAGTCGCACGACCGTAACAGTAATAAGTAATAATATTATTTTATTGTATTGCTTGACTTGAGCTGCACCACCTCGCCGACCGACAGAGAAGTATCGCGCTTCGTTTACTAGGTATTATTTCATAATTCTTTACATCTATTTGGTAGATATCTATTTTAACAGGCAACAGCGTTAATATAAGCGTTATAAAATCATAAAATTCGTTACTTATAACAATTCAACAATAAGCATCTATAAAAGAGATTTTATTGTTATTCACTGCAAGTATAGATATGTGCCTAGGTACCTATAAAGTGATCGAGGGTTTCTACTATGTATAATATCATATCCGCATATTTAATGTTAAAAATAAAATAAAAATAATTTAAGTGCAAATAATAGGTACACATATGTATGTACATGGTGACCTAGCTCGGAAGAATATAATAAAATATTAAATAATATTATAGTCACGTGCGGCTCGAGTCTTAATTTATGTACAATATTATTGTTACTGTCGTAGATTTAACAGGTATAATATTACCACGGTCGGCAGTATACACGAGTGCGAATAATATTGTCGGCTGACAAGACGAAGTCATAGAAAACAGTGCATTAAATATTATAGTAATATTGTTATACTCTGCAACAGTAACTATATATAGCAGTCATGTGGCGGTAAGTAAAATATTTATAAATATTTTTTGACCCACTCCCTGCTAGATAAATAGGGCACACGTACCCATTACTAAGTAGGTATAGGCTTATAATATCATTTATAACTCTCCGGCCCCCCGTCTTCAACACACATAACACCTAACCTAACCTATGTGAAGTGTTTATCTATTAGAAATCTAGTATGTAGAAGTCTGCGGTCGTCAATCACCGGCAGCACGCATCACCAATTGTCCGGTTATGAATTATTATTTGTTACATAATGTTTTAGTATCAGTTATTACCGTCAAGTATTGATAATAATAATAATAATAATAATAATAGTATTTTTATCGTCGGTCACAAGGTCACGTCTCTGACATTAGTCATTACCTATAATCATATAATATATATAAAAACGCATTATAATATAAAATTATTATTAAAAATTATTCTGCCACGCACTGCGACAATAATAATAATAATTATTATTATTATTAATATTATCATTACTATTTCACTGGACCTCGACGCTGTCGACGCCTGACGGCAATAATTTATAAGCCTGCACATTTATTAAAAAAATACCTACACTTATGTATGAGTATACTTGTATCTGTACAATAATTTATGTTCAATAATATCATTACACCTATAGGTAAGCTACCACTACTATAGAGCCCATGATACATGAATGACGTCGTAGATATAATATTATACTATTATAATATCATTATTATTATTCGTCAATCCCCCTCTCGCGCCTGCGTACGTGACGTGTATGTGCGTGCATGCCCGCTTACGTACGCATGTAATTGATAGTGTACAGTACGTTTGTTTGAAAATCATTATCACCCAGCCGATCCGTGATACTAGTCGAGTTACATTTTTACATTATTATTATTGATTACCATTTTACTATTTTCTGCTGTTGTCTGGACCTGAAGATTCGACATCATCGGAATAGTATCGCAACGTCGATGGTTGGAACATCTCACGTCTCTTTCGTTATTGTATAATCACATACTTTTGTGTGGACATCGTCGGTCTACCGTACTTTAACCTCCACTGTCGCTTTCGTACACTTCATCGACCATGTATTGTTTCTAGTCGCTCTATTATATTCATTTCAAGGTGTATACGGGGGTGTATACAAATAATATACATATTGTTGCCCAATTGTCGTTAGTCGTCTTCGTGTGCATACACCGTGCAAGTGAGTACACCGATCAATACACATTATTATTAGGTATGTGACATCTTAAAAATATTACAAATGGTGAACGCCGCTACCTTTGATACACTGTGCTTGTGTAACTTAATATCATATTTTGACCATATACAAGTTATTATCTTGTGTTATATTCCTGTTTTCGCTACGTTGATTCATTCCAGTTGTGATCAGCTTATTGTTACACTAACATCAGCATTTTTATTTACTACTTAGCTGTGTACCATCACGACTATTTAACCCAATTTGGTCAATAACTTGACATCATTCTAAAGAATTAAAATTTGTCGTTTTGTTAATCATTTCAATGGTGGGAGCGTGTTAATATTTTAATATCTTTATTTTTTTCAATAGCCAGTAAGAAAATTATAAATTTTAATTGATACATTGTTGTCATTGTGGTATTCATGTCTCATACACTTCGTAAATTGTGTTGAACCAACCATACCTTACAACCTAACTCATCCAATAATTGAATAGCTAGATATATCCAATCATGCCCATATATTGAACTATTAGCATAAATATTGGCACCTATAATACTAGGTACCATTGTTCATTGTGCATTTAATAATTTCACATAAGTACTGCTCAACGTTCAATGTTGTGTTCATATTATTAAAATTTCTTTTACCTATAGTTATCCCTAAATTTGTAGTTATTTTTCTTCCCCATCTAAAACATTAAAAATTAAAGTTTCAACTTAAATTCTCTGACGAATAAAACATTTTGATCGGAAAGTATTACTGCACAAAAAAAAATGTGTCTTGCATCAAAGTCCATGCCCTAATTATTATATTTACTAAAAACAAATTATCTAGGTACATGAGGTTCTAGTGTCTGAGGTTAAACTGTATGAGCACACCTTAAATAACGATAGGTTCCACATTTTTTTTAAGATTAGGTACCTAGTATTCATTTGTAATTACTAAATATTTATCAGTTTAGTGTCTTTGTACTTTGTAAAGTAACTATTCTTTATCTATACATTAAATAGCTTAAATATTATAAATCATAATTCCACATCATTTATTTATTTATCAGTTAATATCAAGTAAATGCTTTTATCATCGACATTGTGCTTTCTGTCTTTAAAGTTAATACCAAATTTAATTGTTATTTTATTTAAAGAAATTGACCAATTATTATATATTTTTTTTTTTTTATTGATCTTAAACCCGGCAACTGTGGCCATTAGCTGTAGTAGGTATTGTAGGTTTGTATTGTAGGTTTTTTGGCACGGTATGGGGGAATACACGTGTTTGTGTTTGGCAGAATTTTTATGTGGGCACCCGTGGTACTGCCATGCCCGGGTGGGGGGATGGCGGCAATTCTCAACATCTGCCGTGACTCGGCTGAAGAAAAATGCCGCCCAGTGGCCGAGAATCAAACCGGCGACGACTGCCCCGCAACCGAGGCCTAGACCGCTCGGCCACCCCGTCCCCCTATTATATTTTATAGTAATATAAACTACACATTATTTATATAATATATTTGAAACAAAAAAATAGTTTTTTTTTGAACATAAATATAAAATTGGAAAATTGGAATGTAAATATTTTAAAATACAAAATATAGGTAGGTAGGTTTATAATTTTAAAAAAGTTATGAAAAAATAATAAGTTTAAATTTAATAAATGTATAAAATAATGTTCAATATAATAGACTGATTTATAATTAAAGTATTCTTACTTATAAATACATTTAATTAAGTAGGTAGCTAATCATATTTATAATCGGCCTTTCATATTAATATGAAGGTTAAAGCAGATACTAGAAGTATACATTATTAAAATTAAAAAAATTAATTAACTAGTAGGTACCTATCTAATTAATATAATAAATATTTGATTTGGTGAAGTTGTTAATTGTTGTTTATAGTTTATAAACATCAACTAGTTATGATTAATAATTTCAGGTATATTTAATTATGAAAAATTGTAATTAAATTGTTTTTTTGTTTTATGCCTATAATATTTAATTACTTTTTCTGAATCCATATTAAATATTCAAAGGAATTGTTAATTGGCTATTTTGGTATGTCTAATAAGTAAAGGTATAGTTATATATTAGCTTAAAGATAAATGTATTAGGTACATTAATAAAACCTATAGCAAAAATATCTTTTACCATAATATTATATCATTTAAGAAAAAGTTTTTTGTGTTTTATCAAAATTAACCTCTAAGAGTCAATAGTCTAATTATTGTGTTGCACTAAATTACTTTTTTGCACAATAAAATTGATTGTTTACATTTGTCTAACTATCTATTAATATGTTATTACTTAATTTAATTTTAAAAAGAAGTGGGAATTGGGTTTCATTTTGAAAAAAAGAACAATCAAATCTAATGATATAAATTAATATGTATCACTTTTGAACATTTTAAAATTGATTTTTAAGTATTTAATAAGTATTCCGTTATGAAGTTTGTTTATGTTTTTCTTAAGCTATTTAATATATTAAATCAAATTATTAATTTTTTCAGTATGGAAAATGCTTATTTATTGTCAGCTTTCAAGACAATATCCTTTATATATGATGTCATAACATATCCTGTGTATTTAATATTACAACAGCCATGGAATAAGAAGCATAAGTCCAAGCAAATGAAAGTATGATCTATTATCTATTAACATAATTTATCATATATCTTAATTGTTGTAATATGTAGTGCTCTTGTTTACTTATGTTTGTAACTATTTACTATTCATGGTCTTTCAATTTTCGACATACCTAATTCACATATATTTTTTATGAGTTTGAACTTAAAGGTTTATATTACAACAAAATACCTATTGAACTCTCTGAAGAAATAAAAATCATCATACTTCTTTAATTATTATATATGATATCTAAGTGTTTAGTAGTGTATTTTTAACCTGATAAATAAGTCAATTCAGTTATCATATTTTAACTCGTGTAAATATCTGATCATTGTTATTTAACATAATATCTATTTGTTTACAAGAGTAGGCTGTATTATTAACTTCACTATTTATAGGATATCTGATTGTAATATGTACCTATACATATTGTGTAGTAATTATTGAGTTAGTTTTTAAATTAAGTAAACTTAGCTGGCTTTTAGAACATAACTAATGTTTAATAAAAAAAACTGTTTAAAATTTTTTTTTTCAGTCCGATATTACCAAGTTTGACGATCACACAATTATCATTAAAACCTTAAGTAAACCTACATCTAATCATCTTACTCTAGTCAAAGATAAGATAGATACATTACAAAAAGTATTTCAGTATGCTGTACATAAATATGCTGATTCATATTGCCTTGGAACTAGAGATGTACTTGCTGAAGAAGATGAAGTGCAGCGAAATGGAAGAATTTTCAAAAAAGTTAGTATCTACTTATATTATATAATATTATCATAATGATATTTTAAATAACAAGTCAACCTACTGTAACAAATTTAAAATAAATGATCCAAAATGTGTGAAATGTATGAAATAAAATTCTAAAATTCTAAGTGATAGTGTTCAAATTTTCTCATGGAATATATTAATAACCAAGTGGTTTTCGGGATGTTAACTATTTAATATTTATTTAAAATTATGTCTTTGATTTTATACATCTTGGAGACTATACTTTTTTATAAACTTACATGACATATGGTATCATACTAGCTCCAATCAAGAATTTATCGATTTACTATGATATTCGATGTTTCTAATTGTGATATTTAACTAAAAGCTACGATAAACAGAAATAAAAACTTATTTTATTTTGAATGTTTTTGTTTTGCATAATTTTGTTGGTTTTTGTTATTACTACAGAATTATCAGAATCAAGCATTCAAATAATATTCTTTTAATTATAATTACAATAAAATAAAATAAAAGATATTTGTTAAAATAGAGTTGAAATATTTAATTATGTTATTACGAGGTTGATTTGTACTTAATATACAAGACTAAAATGTTTGTCATGATTTATTTTTTAGATATCCAAATTTAAAAAATGGTTTTAATTTTTTTTAGTATGTCATGGGAGATTATAGATGGATGACATTTACAGAAGTGGACGAGGCATCTGATAATTTTGGAAATGCCTTAGTCTCTCTAGGTCAAAAGCCTAAAGAAAATATAGCAATATTTGCTGAAACAAGGGCTGAGTGGATGATTTCAGTTCAAGGTTGTTTCAAACAAAATATACCTGGTGAGTAAGCATTTTAGTAAGCAACATTTCTTGTTAATAGTACGTATAGTTTAAGTTTTTGTGTAAATACAAATAATCTATTATAAGATTTTGTTTTCTATGATGAGAATATTAATATATTTTTTAATCGTCATAGTTGTAACATTATATGCGACTCTTGGAGAAGAAGCAATAGCACATGGTATAAATGAAACTGAGGTGTCTATTGTTATTACTTCACATGATCTGTTACCAAAATTCAAAAAAATTTTACAACTTACTCCTCGAGTTAAGACTTTAATCTACATGGAAGATCAATTAGCCAAGACAAACACCAGTGGCTACAAAGACGAAGTTGAAATAATATCATTTAAATCTATTTTGAAAAGGGGTTCAGAATACAAAGTTACAGGTTAGATTTTTAATATGTTTTTAGTTTTTAAGAAAAAAGAAATAATTTTTTAATTTTTGTTGTAGAAAATCATTTACCAATAAAGAGTGATATTGCAATTGTTATGTACACTAGTGGATCAACTGGCGTTCCTAAAGGTGTTAGTCTATCACACACTAATCTTATATCAACGCTCAAAGCTTTTACTGATGCTATTAATATAGATTACAAAAAAGATGTGTTTATGGGATATTTACCATTGGCACATGTTTTTGAATTGCTTGGTGGTAAGTAAAATTGCTTGATTAGACATGTTTTTAAATTTATTTATATGTATTCTAATGCTGTCGTGCGTGTATAATCACTGATCATTAAATAAACTTTTAATTAAATGGTCCCTTAAAAATGATTTAGGGTCTAATAAATTTATTTGAACTTTTAAATTCATTAATTTCTCATGCAATCTGACATAAAAGTTGCATATAAAGTGTAATACTATCTGTTGATTAAAAATTATTTACAACTGGTTTATAAAAATTAAAAATTTTTTATTTTTTTTATTAAGTAGCAGATACTAAATTTCATTCTAGTTTTAATGAATTCACTATTTATCAATTGTGTATTTAGAGTTTTGGCCATGTATTTTAATTTACTTAATCATGTTTATTTTGATTAATTAATTTATTACAGAACTTGCTTGTTTATTATGTGGAATTAGAATTGGATACTCCACACCATTAACTATGATTGATACATCTAGTAAAATCAAACGTGGTACAAAAGGCGATGCAGCTGTGTTAAGACCAACCGTCATGACTGCAGTTCCTGTTTGTATTTTATTATTCAAAACAAGTTTTGTAATTTTAAAACTATTATTTTTATGTTCATTTGTTTATATAGCTCATATTAGATCGTATCTACAAAGGCATTAATGAAAAAGTTTCTAGTGGGACAACATTACAAAAAACGTTATTCAAATTTGCATTTGAATACAAAAGAAAATGGATGGAACGTGGATTCCAAACTCCACTTATAAATATGTAAAATAAAATTGGAATATAATTTGTTTTATATGAACCATTGAACACAATTTATTTTAACTTGTCATTCTTATGTCAGGTTTGTATTTAAAAAAACAAGTGCATTATTGGGAGGTCGTGTACGTTTCATTCTATGTGGAGGAGCTCCTCTGTCACCAGAAACTCATACTCTTATCAAAATTTGTCTATGTGAAACCGTTCAACAAGGTTATGGACTTACTGAATCTAGTTCTTGTGGATCTGCAATGAGCCGTTAGTACAATAATATTAATATTGAAAAAACAAGAGTTATAAAATATTCAGATTTAAAAATAATTTTAATAGGAGATGACATGTCAACTGGTCGAGTAGGAGCTCCACTAACGGTTAATGATTTCATGTTAGTCAGTTGGGAAGAAGGTAGTTATAGGATAACAGATAAGCCATATCCAAGAGGCGAACTTATTATAGGTTAGTTATTACATTTGTTAAATAACTTATAGTTAAAAATGTTAAAACATTAATGTTTTTCTAAGGCGGAGACAACATATCACCTGGCTATTATAAAAATCCTGAAAAAACGAAAGAAGAATTTTTTGAAAAGGATGGCAAGTGGTGGTTTAAAACTGGTGACATTGGTCAGTTAGAAGCGGACGGTGCCATTAAAATAATTGGCAAGTATTATTGTTCAACTGTAACTTAAAGAAACCCTATAACTTTACATAAAATATACGTATGTTACAGATCGTAAAAAAGATTTGGTAAAATTACAAGGCGGCGAGTATGTGTCTCTTGGTAAGGTTGAATCACAACTCAAAACCTGTCCAGTTGTTGATAATATATGTATTTATGGAAATCCATTCCATATGTATACAATTGCATTGGTTGTTCCCAACAGACATCACTTGATAGATATGGCTAAAAAATTAAATATTGAAAATGTAAATGAAATTAGTATTGAAGAGTTGTTTTCAAATAAAAAATTGGAGAAAGCGGTTGTCGATGAGTTGGCTGCACACGGTAGAAAAAGTATGTTGATGTTGATAGTTTCTAGTCTTAAATATTAATGTTGTAATGGTACTGTATGGTTGTAATTGATTTCAGATAAACTTGAAAGGTTTGAAATACCTACAGAAATTATATTATGTAATGACGTATGGACACCAGACAATAATCTAGTGACGGCTGCTTTCAAAATCAAACGAAGAGAAATATATGATAAATATAAAGTCCAAATTGATAATTTGTACCAATTTTGAAAAAAATTTATCAAACGGAAAATGAAAGACCAAAACTACTACATTTTTTATTACTTTTAGAGTATATTTATTTTACCAAAAGCAATTAATTAATTTTATATTAATAGTATCTTAGGATGTATACATTAATAAATATGTTGTTATTAATTCTTGCAAATTTAATTTTAGTTTAACACTTCATCCTTGTATAATGTTTACATAACATTTTTGTGTAATGTTGTCTATCAGAAATTAATTGTTGTCATTTATGGCTACAGATTTGTTTGTGTTGATATTACCATTGCATTGTTGTTTTGTTTGCTCTATATGTTCAAATTGTTTGTGGTTACGTAAAATACAATTTTTTCTACGTTCTACAAACAAAAACAAATTCATAATTCATAATTTTGTTTTTAAATTTTTTTTATTGTATGTATTTGAAATTAGTCGCTAATACTTTATGACCATACTATTGTTAAGTGATAAATAACAAATGTGTACTTTAAGTATTAAAATTGATAATTTGTATTTTTGAAAACTGAATTTTATTAGTTAAAAAAAAATGTCAATCATCCCCAATGACGGCTAAGAAAGCGCTAATGTTAACATATTCTATAAGTTATAATTTATAACTCATAACTGATATTTATATGAAACGTGTTGTAACGATAAAATTCTGAACTCTTGACTACATTGTGTACAATGTAGTTACAGATAGTGTTACTCTTGAGTTGTAACAGAATCGTGATTAGATAGGGGATCCAACTGTGGTTTTATTGCAAGAAGCTTTAGAAAGTTTCTACTAGAAACCATGAAACTCTACCCAAAATCTGGCATGTAGCATGCATCTGGATATCTCTAGTGCTTTAGGTATGCTCACTAAAACATATTACTGGAATATCTTTATTAAGCGCATATTTATAGTAATTCAATAAGTCTGTTAGCTATAACTTATAAGAGTACACTCAGAAATATCTAGGTACCATCAAACAGGCCAAAATCAAAATTTTATCTTATAATTTTACCTTTATAACAGACTCTTGTATTTTAATTCATGTATACCAAATATTCGGTTGTTACCTTAACAATATTTAAAATTACTTTAATGTATGTCAAGATACAAGATCAAGATACATTGTGAATGTAGAAAAGATACATGGTACATGGTACTTCTATATTTAAAATTAAATTGTATTATTTATTAAACACTAATAACTTCTATACACAATACACTATTCTGTCTATAACACTATACTCTCCTATAAATAAATTGTAAAGGAATAAAATATGAAAAATTAGAGAACGGTATAATTATTTTACTGATGCCGGGTTGTGTGAACAATCACTAAACATTTAACAAATCAATAATGAGCTAATGATCCCTTAAATAAAAATAATAAACTTCTTTTTAGTTAAAAGTTCAAAAAAAATAATGACTTGAAGAATTTTATTTTATTTTCTGATTTTATTGTAATATAATTACCTCTCAGTTACAAAATATATTTGTTACACCAAGAAAATTGTCTATTATTTAAAAACAATTTAAATAGTCCCCCCAAATTGGTTAAAGTGTGCATTCATAGTTCATATAGGTTTTTCATAGGAAAATCATCAATGCCCTATGTTGTTGACTTGGGTGCAACGTACGAAAATACACCTACATTTATAGTTTAGTTTATCTTGATTGTTAATACTTATTTTCAAATTACAATATGCTTTTAATACTGTCCAAGATGGCAAGTTTGATGTTGCAATGGCCAATGGTGCACCCTTGGTAGTACTGTATAGTGTATACAACAGTAGTAGTTTGTATCATTAACTAACCATGGATCTACTGGCAAATTTCTAGAGTTGGGAAGAGCTTAAATTTTGTACATGACAATAAGACAAATTACATAGGTAGGTAGTCCTTATCTGTTAACAATCATTTCAACATAGAGAGCCTTATTATTCGTACCAAGAATATAAAGAAAATCGGAAGTAGGTGATAGCATTACTAAAACCACAATATTTTTTTAAAGATCTTAAAAGCTATCGACCTATTTAAACTGATAAAAATTATTTCTTTAAAGTATTAACAAACATTCAATCTCTTTTCTACGATATATTATAGGTGAACTAAAAACTATGGTACCATAATTCTCCAGAATTTCTTTGCCACACGAGATAATCGTTAAATGCTTATTGTTCTACGGTATTAGGTTAATACTTATTATGATAAATCATAAATATTAGTAATGTCAGTAATGAGTAGCAGTGGCGTACATAGAAATTTTCAAGGCACCCGTGTCGCATGCTATCTACCAAGAAAATCATATCTACAAAAATCTATGCATACGTGTCGTATGTTATCTACCAAATAAATCCTACATAAAAATCTACAAACTCAAGTTACTAACCTGCTCAATGCCTGTTGGTTCACAGTTGTACTATTTTAAATAGCCCGTTTGTTAACAGTTGTTCATATTTTTTTTATTTTTTTACAAAAATGTTTTTTTTACATCTTGTAAAAAACATTCAAAAACATTTTTTTGATTGACGGATCTCCACCATTCTTCTTGCAATTGTCTTTCAAGGAGATTAGTCGTTCCACGAGCTCTGATTCCATACTTTACTTTCATGTGTTTCCATAAGCTTTCAATAGTCTGTGTTTGATCACCTGTACGTGGATCTATAAAGTTTTTGCTGTGGTTAACAGTATGGTGAAGAAAACCATGTTTTTTAAGAGTACTGTAAGCTCTCCATTCATCTGAATAAATTGTGGTTTCAGATTCTATTTTTTGCACAATTATGGGAAGTAATGTTTCACGATCTCTTTTATCAACTATAAAATAACGGCGCTCCAAAATATTATCTTGACGTAAGCAGCACATACCAAACACCCAAGGCCCTTGAACGCGATTTCCGTAATTTCTATTTTGGTTTTCAATATTTTGATTTTCTTCGTCAGAACTTGAATCAGAATATGAATTTGCATTATCATTAGGTCTATGATCGTCAAGCCGTAATCTGCCTCTATTGTACTTTCGTTTGCCTTGGAAAAGTGACTCGTCAATCTGTACGATGTATCCTTTACCTCCCATTTTTCCTCGATGTTTAAACTGTTCGACGACAACGCCTCGACACAAATTATACCAATCTGAGACTGTGTGATGTCCTCTACCAGTAATTTTTTCTGTTTGTATATTTTTAAATAAATTCTCCCATCACCAAACAAGTTCAGATATTTTGCATAAACTTAATCCACTATTCTTTTTTCCATTTTTGTCGGTGTAAGTAAAAAATGGATTTTCTTTACGAATGGATTGCCATGTTTGACAACCCTTTTTTTTACATGGTAAATATTTTGTTATAATAATATCTCCATTTACATCACGTTTTTGATTTTTTTTTAAAGTTTCATTCATTTCACCACCACACTGTTCTCCAATAGAATTTAATTTTGTACACAGTTTTGTATTAGGTAATAAATCATAAAATTGTATACAAGTTTCGTCATTAAAAATAATTTTTCTATATAATTCACCCAAAGTACTCATTTTATAAAACCATACATTTACAATTAATGAAAAACACACAACTATGACGTTTGATCTCGGCGATCAACGAACACATACTAAATTCTAAAATACAAAATTACTTTGAAATTCCTAAAGGAATTATAAATATATATAGTATATAGAAATACAATATCGATACGATTACGGTAGATAACGTAGATACAGTAGATAGCATATGACACCGACAATTTGTTGGTAGATAGCATACGAAACGTGTGCCATTTTCAATAATTCAATAGGAAGGGTTAAATAAAATATAATTAACTACCTACCTATGTATAAATATAAAAATATTTCTTCAATTATTTTTATATACATATATAATAATTATAGTAATAATTTCTTAGAAGAGGGGTAAAGGGGTTGAACACCAAACACCACCTCGTGTGTACGCCACTGATGTGTAAGACAGTAGGTAAGTTGGTCTGTCGATTCTTACTTATGTTTCTAATCGGAGCGCAGTACCGTTCCACGGGGCTTAGCGGGCCATCCGGTACGAGTTCACAAATATAAGGCAACCTCCTCGAACAGTCCTCTGTTTCCCAGTACCTGTTGCTCAAGAGTACTACGCACTCTTTTCTTGGTCTACCAGTTTTTGGATGACCTGGCGCCCATGCTCTATGTGGCAAACAACTCAATGGTTCACCTTGAGCACCACATGATTTAAATACATAATAAATATTTTTAGGTATTATAACTTTCAATATTTTTTTATTGTTGAACTATCTGTACACAATTATCTATGATAATATAGTTAGGCAGGTACCTACCGGCTACCAAATATATTATAATGCTTATTGTATGTGCACTAATACAAATCATCAAATATTTAAGAAAATCAATAATCACTAATATAGTATTAGTAGGTAGTAATACTATAATGTGTATTATTTTACACGTTAATACCTGTATATTAAAATAAATTCTATACGAAAAGGTATATAGTGGAAACGAGGAGCGGATCCAGTGAGAGCCTAGTGGTCCCAGTTCATCCCAAACATATTATTTCAGAATTTTTTTTAATAATTCTACAGATTCTGATATCACTATATTTCAAATTACATGTATGTCTGACAATGTAATATATTATTATACGTATCATTCTGGGGTGCACAAACGAAGATAGTATTACCTTAGTTCGTGGTGGGCAGTGATTTCAATATTGTAATTTTACATTTAAAAAAAATTGTGCCCCCCCACCCCCCGGAATTTGCTCTGGATCCGTGCCTGGTGGAAACTCGGAACATATTTAACAAGATATACCTGTGATGGTTACAAAACCATTTTCGAAGAATAATCCAACAAATGCCTTGCGGTTGGCGGGGGTATTATTTTTCAAATCTGACGATACCAAAGTAGCCAAAAATGAAGTCCGAGAATCGGATACGACATTAGCAAGGTGGCCGCCGACGTCCTCACACGCTATCATAGCGTTAGAATAGTTCAAAGGTTTCGTCACCATTTCAAACACACCAAGTCCTGGTGCACAAGTATAGTTTTCACTGGCTACATATAAAATTAAAATGTAATAAGAATACAGCTGTTAAAACATGAATAATAGAAGCTTAAGATCAATATAGTTAATAGATAAATGACTACTTTCATTGCTTAAGTTAAAAACAGTTTTCATAATCAAGATGTCAAAAATAATAATGAAACAAAGTTGGCCCCGCACAAAAGCATCTATATTTTATTTTATTTGCTTTAAACATTATAGTTAGTGTTTTTTGTTTCTTATTATAATTTATAATAGAGCGTTTTATTGTATCCTTAGGGCTTAGATCATATACTATAGCTAACAGATCCAAAGTCATTAGTCTTTGATGAAACAGTACAAATGTATTATTAGAGACCTGGGTAAATGCTGGTGAATGCACTAGCAATTATATAAAACGAAACAACAATCGAATCGCCTTCAAAATCGTCTTCCCAAAAAGGTAAAACGTACAAGAAGGATAGTGCTTAGATTGATAAATCACTTACTTTGCAAACCAAGAAAAGTGATATAATAAAATGGTTGGAAAATAAAGGTGAGGTTAGAGATAGTCCAATGGTTGTAGTACAACTTATTGAAATTAAGCAAATTATAAGGCTAGTCGCTGACTGGCAATTTTCAGTTACGAGATAGTTGCTCAATAGTTTAATTGCAAGAGTGACTTTCACAGTGATATAGGACAATCAGCTCACATGCAACTTATCAGTTTGACCAACTAATTAGTTTGTATTTTGTCACAAATCGTTAGATTGCGTGATTACATGCAATTGTTTTGTGTCATTAACTTTTAACGGGTCTCAGCTCACTTGTCATCAAACAGTTGCAACGTTCACGTTTCCACTTAAAAAAAAAAAAAATGAACACTACAAACATGAACGAAATTGAAGTGCAACAAGGTAATTATTATAAAATATTTTAGTAATTACTAGCTACCTAATCTATTACATGGTAAAAAAAATAGAAATTGTCTGCTTTGCATAAAAATACTTATTTATAAGTAATATAAATATAAATATTAATACTGTGTGTTATATTATACATTATTACTAGTGATGGGTTGAACTGTTCGGTATGAAATTCGAACTCGGCTTGCAAAAATGCTTCGATTGTTCAAAAATCAAACATGATATTTTGTAAAATTCTTCAAATGATATTTAAAAAAAAATCTATAATGGCTATCTACTATTTAGAAATAACAATTTAGCTGCCATAAATTATTTAAATAAAATATTTAATTACCAATAATTCCTATTTTTGTTTTTATCATATTTATTGTAACAAGAAAAATCTATTTTAGGTAAGCCCATGGTAATATTCTGATACCGTGACTGTATTGTTGATAAAAACCTGATTACGATATACATTCTATATCTCTATAATAGAAAGTACAAAAACTCAAAAAAAAAAAATTGGTATTATCGTTGATTTCATTTGCACATGCTAAAAATGTTGAGTTTGAGTTAAAATGATTCTAGGTTCGGTTCGGTTCGGTTAGATTTAAAAAATCAGGGTTTGGCCCATCACTAATTAGGTATATTATAATTTTACATTTATGTAATATAAGTATTATTATATTTGAACTGAAGAAGCAGAAACTGATATCTGCCAAAATATAAATTTCTAGGTTTTTATGGTATATGAAAGTAATAGGTCAATATATATTGTTGTGATAAAATATGATATCATTAGGACGGTTAGTTTTACTTTTATTAGCATTATACAAATTATAACTATCTATACGGAACACAGAATTTGACGGTGGCAAATTATGATAAACCATTAACAAATTTTGCCACATTTATTATTATGTCACAAAACATAATAATATCTATAAATAACAGATATTTTTTAAATATGTCTCGATTGGTAAAAGAAAGTGAAATAAACGACATTATTTTTGAAGATTTACCATCTGATGACGACAGTAACTCATCGTTAAACAACACGGACGATGATGAAATATATTTTCCAAGCCACAATTTGTTGAAGTAGAATCGTCTAGTTCTGCAGACACAGAAGAAGAACAACCAACTATTTTTTTATTTAGATTTATTTTAAATTTATTTATTTCTGGTGTCGCAGACATGATGTCCTGGTTGTACAAGGAAAAACGAAACTTATATTTCCTGTAAAAGACGACAATGTTGTGCTGTTTTATGTGCCAACCAGTGAGCTATATTTTGATATATATTGCAAACCACACATATATCAATAGGACATGGTAGGCGTGATCGAATGATCAAAGAACTTGGTAATAAATATAATAATTATAGGTATTAGTTCATGTCTTATTACTGTATTATAGTACTTGTATTAGTACTCACGCAAAGGTTTTGAGTACATGCTATAATAGTCGTAGGCCGATTCATCGGCAGTCAGTAGAAACGGGTGGAACTCCGGACAATCGAAAACATTACAAGTGGAACTCAATATTTGCGTCGTACCTGTGTATTAATAAAGCCGACTGTAATCTGTGTATAATATAGTTATAAGCGTAATGAAAATACATTTTTCCATGTATTTAAACTGACAAACATATTAATGAAAACTATTGTAAGATACGATGGAACACCCAACAGTATTATAGTATTTGTCCTCAAATTTATATATTTTAATTTTAAACTTTTTTAAAATGTTTTTTCTCAACTGGACTCAATCCAATTAATATTAACATTCACTTTCCCAGGGCTTTATACAAAAACTTTTAATTTTAAAATTGAGTAAATTAAAATATAATATACTTCCATAGGTGACGTAATTATAAATAATGTACGATTTCAATTCTTCGAGGAATATATAGCTTTGTATTCTGAAAAATGTATAGTTCCCCTTCAATATTTTGGAAATGTTAGACGTGTTTATATATGTTATGGGAAAAGTAGGAAATGCGGGAATTGTATAATAATTGCAAAAACATTTTGGGCAATGTAAGAATGATTAATTTAATAGGTACTCAAATATTTTTCATACATTGAGCGGACATTGCACTAGATTTTCGGGAAAAGAGAACCCTGTCCATAATAAAGTGGGCAAAATGAAGTAAATACAACGTGCTACACACATTTATATTGAATTGGATGTACATAAAACAATAACACTACACAACTATACTTAAATGTTTTATTCACACGTGACAAACGTAGTACGTAATACCATTGATTATAAATGCGTATCGACTGGGGAACTTCAGTCAAATACTGCAATTAATACAGCTGAATTTATTGATATAGTCAATGATATGTTCGATTCATGTAACAGTAAAAATGTATATGAACCAAATCCAAAAAGAAAGCCAATGTGTGAAAAAAATTCAACTGTTTTTCAAAACTTAGAAATAGCTCGGTCGATTTTTAAAAAAATAGAGAAGATATGTAACGAAACAAAAAAAAATAGTACACCTCCTTGTTTCACAGGAATTGTTTGGACTATAACTGCGTTACTCGAACTTTATAGTTCTGAAAAATTGGATATGATTAATCATCAACCGGAAAAAGGAATTCTTTTTACTAACAAATCGGCTAACTCAAGATGCTTTGGAAAACTTTTTTTCAATAATGCGTCAGAAAAATAGGTATGTAAATAATCATTTCAATAATTTTAGAAATTTCACATTGCCACATTTTTAATTTATTTTATTCTAAATACGAATTTTAACCATTCAAAAAAAATTTCTTATATCTTACTCGTATTTCATGACAAACCCAATTTTTCGTCTAATTGTATGATTAAAATTTAATAAAAAGTTTAAAAAGTATTCTATTTTTCCACATTTTACCTACATTTTGTACGCACTCATTTCAATTTGAACTGTTCAGTAGGTATATATTTTAGGCTAAGTTTAATCATTGATTTTATAATCAATGGTATTATCTATATTTTTATATTTTTACGATTTTTTAACTCAATTAATTTAAGTTAAATATTTTTTACTCAATTAAGTTTAAAGTTAAGTTAATTATAAAAAAAAATCATTGAAAAGGTTTTAAAATCACTTGTATAGTAGGTAATTTTTCTATATATCTATGAATATAGATGTAATTATTAATATTATATTATTATCGGATATACGTCAATTCATCGCGAGTCAATTCATCGTGTGTCATTTCATCGTGGTCAATTTATCGTGTCGTTAATTTATCGCGACGTCAATTTATCGTGACACTAATTCATCGTGTGTCAATTTATATATATTATATTTTTAAATAACTACTCCAGAAAAACCTAGAATGACGTTATATTATTACTGTGGCTGATTATAATCTCCATTACGATAACGATGAGTGTTAACTAGGCCAGTTTATGCCCCAGTCGATCGACAACTGTTGAACTTTATTTATATTGCCGCGTCGCCGTTTTTGTGTTAGTGCGTTTTCCTTCTTTTATACAATTATGGCTTTTGAAATGTTAAAAACTGAAAGAGGAAAAAGTATGCTTTCATTCAATGGTTATATTTTCGTAAAAGAAAAAGAAAGTGACGTTAAATCAATATGGAAATGTAACCAATATTTTAAAAACAAATGTCGAGGACGCGTTCATTTAAGTGATGGAAAAGTATTAAAAAGTACTGACCATAACCACGTTCCGAATTCAACAGACACTAATGTTAAAAAAACTCTAAATTTACTAAAAGAAATAGCTACCAATAACGTTGATGCAAGTTCTCATTCTGTAGTAGCTACAGCATTATCTCAAATCCCTACAGAATGTGCGGCTCAGTTACCTAATATTCATAGACTCAAGCGTACTATACAACGACTACGTAAACAACAACTTCAATTCCCAAAAGAGCCAACCGATTTCAATTTTAGTATACCTGACGAGATGACAAAAACCACTGACGGTAATCTTTTTTTACAATATGACAGTGGTATTAATACAGACAGAATTTTAATTTTTTCAACAGCAAATTTATTAAAACTTATGACGCAATGCAACAATTGGTTTTGTGATGGCACATTTTCAAGTGCTCCAACTTTATTTTATCAAGTTTATACTATTCATGCAGTACAATATTCAAATGTTTTACCATCAGCTTACGTCTTATTACCCGATAAAAAAGAAAAAACGTATAGACGTATGTTTCAAGCATTAAAAAGTATTACTACTGGATTATGTCCTAAAACTATCATGGTTGATTTTGAAAAAGCTGCGATGAACGCGATAAATTATGAATTTCCAGAAACAGAAGTAAAAGGATGCTTTTTTCATTTTTCACAGTGTATATGGCGACAAATTCAAGATGCAGGTCTTCAAACGAGATATAAGGATGATGTAATATTCGCACTACAAGTACGAAAGTTACCAAGTTTAGCTTACTTACCTGAAAATGAGGTAATTAATGCTTATAATAATCTTTTGGAGACAACATATTTTACCGAACATGATGAATTATTATCACCGATCCTCAACTATTTTGAAGAAACTTGGATAGGATGTATGGACAGACGACAAAAAAGAAGAGCACCTAAATTTGACATTTCAATTTGGAATTGCTATTCATTGGTTTCGCAAGATTTACCTAGAACTAATAATGCAGTAGAAGGATGGCATAATTGTTTTACTTCAATTTTAAATCAATGCCATCCAAGTATTTGGAAATTCATATTCGCGTTGAAAAAAGAAGAAAATATAAATAAAGTAAAACTTGAACAATATATAGGTGGCGAACGTCCACCCGCAAAAAAAAAAATACTTTGACAAAGCACAGTGTTTGAAAAATATTTGTTATGATTTCAAAAATAGAACGACTAATGAATATTTACAAGGAATAGCACACAATTTCCAATTGCAAGTATAAGTGTATTATACATTGTTTTATACATTTTAATTCACAATTTATACATTATACAATTTTTACAATTTTATTCTATTTATAACTTTTAATAATGACAGACCTTTCTAAAAAAAAGACAACATTTTTAACCATACCTACATATAAAAGTAAATGTGTAGACAGTCCTAAGTCTGTATTAAAATGGGAAGGAAAATGTTGGATTTAAAAATATTACATAATATATATACCTATATGCGATAAATTAACTCTCGATGAATTGACGTCGCGATGAGTTGACGTCGCGATAAATTGATTAGGTACGATAAATTGACGCGCGATGAATTGACTTGCGACGAATTTACGTGCCACCTTATTATCTATATAATTGTTTTCCAACAATATTTTCTAATATTCTACGAATTTTAAATCGACGAATCGTTGTAGGTAGACTAAAATATATTTTAGAAAACATGAAAATTCAAAATTAACTTAGTTGGTACCTAAAATTAAAAATTAGGAGTTGATTTTAAGTTAACGGAGATATAAATGAGTTAGGTTAAAGTTAAGTTAGTCAAAACATCCAACTAGTAAATAAGTAAATAAGTAAATAAGTTAATAGGTAAAAATTAATTTTAAACCAAATAGTGTCTAATTTAAGAAACATATGGCCCGAATTAAAATAATACATGGCAAACCGAGGCACAGTCCATCTCAAGGTAGTGATTGACGTGAAAATCAAGATATAGAAAATATGTTGACAACATGGATGCAAGATGAAAAAAAATGACACTGGAGTAAGGGACTTCGGTTCACCCAGCTTATGTAAAACCGAGCTTATCATTCTGGTATTAAAACGTCTCCATATGAAGCTTTATTTGGCTGCGAAAATTGGTCTAAACACTTCAAATTTACCAGACGATGTAATAAATACGATAGAAAATGAAAAGAATTTAGCTGAATTAATTACAAAACAGTCACAAAATATCGAAAATGAAGTATCTGCTGACACAGAACATATCACAAAACAACCACAAAATATTGAAAATGAAGTATCAGAAACAGAACAAATTACAGAACAACCACAAAACATCGAAAATGAAACATCATACTTGTGTAAGACCAACCGGTGTAAATGTAAAAATCTGGTCGACTTTGCAACTCAAAATGTTTGTGGTAATAAATAATATAAAATAATGTAGGTATAATAATGTATATAGCCCTACATTATTTTTTAAGTAATTATTAACTAAAATTAAACTATTAAAATACTTGTAATTTAATAATAAATTGTATTCATTTTATTTCATTTTATTTATGCCAAACCACTTTTATATAGTAATATTAGCAAGGCTGTGAATGTTAATGACATTTTCCGTAAGATTTTTTTTTAATGTTTAATTATTCTATAGTGCCCGGGCAATGTTAATTTATTCCAACTTCGCCCTTGAAAATCAGACAATGTACACAACGCCCGACTCCCTATTTTGTCCAAAACTTATATAAACAGTAAACACAAACAAAATTTCCAAAATAATGAGGATGGCTTCTAGCAACTATGCAGGAGTACTGTTAAATTACCATGTAATCATACATGATTGTAATAAGTAAAATACAGTATAATAGATCAATAAAAAATTACCAAATATCAAGCTCCGAAGACGGAAACCCCTTATATAAATCTTCTAATACAATACATTTCAATAAAATCTGCATGTTATTACCAACATTTATTTCGAACGAGGACCTATTAAAAATTATAATATTGTGGTCGAACCTTCGGTTAAGTTTGCGTACGTGAACGCAAAAGCGTTTTGTGTCGCCGCCAAATGAACACAAGATTCCAATGCCGTCGCGTTTGACGATGCAATAGTTCGCATATTAGACGCGGCACATTCCTTTGTCAGATGGTATTCGTGTGCCGGCCTCTGTAAATGCCTGGAGCAAGACGACGACTGATCGCTGCCCATCTGCTTAACACACAAGACGAGGATCAATATCAACAATAACGTCTCATTAGTCATTTCGCAGCTTTTAAATATGATATGTCCACTTTAGTCGAAAATATACAATTTTTACAGATTTTTGATTCAACCCAAGATATTATTCAGTAAATATGACTAAAATTGCAAGGCCCGTCGTCTAGTACACTGGATGTAGGTTATGGGTATACTGCAGAGGTTTGCATGCGTTTGTACGATATTATGTAATGAGGCGGACATCACTACGATATAACAATAAAATGAGAGGGATCCAACGTTGGTCAAATTCACGGACCGTCAACTCTGTCTCTGGAGTCACGGCCTAGTGCTACCGATAATACGCGCACATCCGTAACACAATACAAATTATTGCTGTATTACAATACGATATTATTATCGTTAGAGGAAACCAAATATGTCCAAAGTCACCGTCAAACGCAGTAAATTTTAACAAACATTGATGTATTTATACATATATTTTAAAAGTATTTATTGCGCAGTTATAAAAAGAGACCAATTATATTCTTTGTCTAAATTATACTAAGATCGAAAATAATTGAACCTTGCATCCTCGGATATTATATGACCTATCATAACCTGAACTAACATTTTTATACTAATACATTAATTATGCAATCAAATTATGGTATAAAAAATTTAATATTTTTAAATTGCGCTTGAAAGAGCGCTTGCTGTAATTTCCAGCACTATGAAGATCTCAATTGGTACTCACCTTATTATATGCCGTTGGGCAACCTTTACATATATCTTAAAACGTGATTATAATCCCCCGTCGCCTGATCACGTACGTGCGTGACGTATGTTCTCCTCAATATCACACATTATTGCTATCACATGTCATCAGTTACCACATTTTATTAATCATTTATTTGAATTAAATCTACAATGCTATGGAGGTCTAACCCACAACTTAGTAACACGTTACCACTCACGTTTCTTTCGTACACAAGAAATGTGATTTGATGATAACTACGAGAAAAAGTTAAATTTGCAATACCTAAAGAAAAAAAATATAAACTTGATGAAGTAGCGTTACAAATGGGTCATGAAGTGGTAAGACTTCCACCTTACCTCTGTCAGTACGACCCAATTGAGCTGATTTGGGTGCAAGTCAAGGGTGAAGTCGCTAAAAAGAATAGCACCTTCAAGATGGCAGATGTTGAAGTGTTGGTAAACAATGCATTAGGTGAGGTCACCAAAGACGCTTGGAAAAAATGTGGTGAACATTGCAGCAAACTTCAGGATGCAGATTTTGTAAAGGAAGGGTTAAAGGATGAAATGTTAGAGCCCATCATACTTTCCATAAATCCCGATGAAAGTTCGACTGATGAAGACGAAAACGACGATGACAAATTACTTGATTTGTAAATATATGTTTTTATTGTAAATTTTGACTATTCTTATTATAAAAAATGTAAAAAAAAATTATTCGAATGTAAAAGGGCTGAAGAGGTAGCCTATAATATTATAGATATTTTTGCCTTTCTTGGAGCTCCTACTATTTTGCAGTCTGATAATGGACGAGAATTTTAAAACCAAATAGTGTTGCATTTAAGAAACATATGGCCCGAATTAAAATAGTACATGGCAAACAGAGGCACAGTCCAACTGGGAAGTGAAGGACGTGAAAATCAAGATATAGAAAATATGTTGAACACATGGATGCAAGATGAAAAAAAATGACACTGGAGCGAGGGACTTCGATTCATCCAGCTTATGAAGAACCGAGCTTATCATTCTGGTGTTAAAACGTCTCCATATGAAGCTTTATTCGGCTGTGGAAATCGGTCTAAACACTTCAAATTTACCAGACGATGTAATAAGTACGATAGAAAATGAAGAAGAGTTAGCTGAATTTTTTTTTTTTTTTTAATCCAGAAATCATACAATCTGTACATAAAAAAAGTACAATAAGCATAAATTATGGTTTTTTTAAAATTATAATGAATTGCTTGAAAATCTTCAGGGAAGAACCAACTAGCGAAGGCACTTCGGCGTGAATTTACAATTTATGATCCTAGAAATCGACACGTACCTATATTTGCAACTGTAGAGCGTATATATATGAATATATATATTTTTATTATTATTTCTGACTATTCTTATCATCAAAAGTGTAAAAAAATTTTTAAAAAAAATAATGATTTCATATTTTTTTTTACTATAAACGTTAGTTACGGCGGGAAAACGTTTGGAGACCCATGCCGTAAAACGGCCGGTAGGCGCGTGACGATCGCGGCCTACTTTTCTTCGACTTCATTATAAATGACTATTTAAAAATTCACACGATCTGTCTAATAGCTTAATAATCGCTCGTGTCGCCAGGATGTCGCGAACTCTTAATTGCCACTATATTTTTAAATCGAAATACTAAAAGCTTGCACCTGAATACTTAGAACTCTATGGCGCTGTACTGACATTAGGAATAGATCAATAAGCCGGTTAAACATTAAGAGACAACATAGGTATCCTGATTCAATTAAATAGTCACACACACAAAAACCATTATTATTATTCATAAAAATCCCTAAATATACAAAAATATGCAAAATAAAATTGAATGTATCTGATTCTATGTCGCACAAAATGAATTTATAACTTGGTCTGCAATGTGTACGATTAAAAGAAAAAATATGCAAAAGTCTTAAACATCCTAACCCTAATAATCATAATTGAGCTGAAGTAAAAAATATGTCAGAAGGAGGTGTTGTGAAAAACGTCGGCAGTACACTGTCTTTTATGTCCTAGACTGAGTGTTAATACATATAATCAGTAGCGTTTTTAAAGATTTGAGTAAAAGTATTTAAATACTTCCTGTACTGATGTATTTATATATCTATATATTTAAATATAAAAACTAGTTATGAAATAACTGAAATTTGTTACAAGCAATTTGCCAACGTTGCATCCAATTTCACGCACTAACATACTATTTTGAATAGGCAAAACCATGTTCTTTATTATCCCTGGACTGCGTGCAATCGCATAGTGTATACCAAAAAGGTAAAACGAGTGCATTCGTACTCAGACGGAAAATTTAAATTTTACATTGATATTATTAAATTGTAAGACACTGAACTGATCATTGTTTATTAATCATATTATTGTTGTCCCGAATAAGTGGCGAAGAATGTAAAAATATAAGAAACTTTTATATCATGATTATTTTTGGATGACATGCAATATTTATTATATTAATTATGTGTGCCTTATATTTCTATGTGTGGTATAACAAATACAAGTAACTTCATAATGCCAGAATTAAGACATCAGAAAAATGAATGAAACGTTTAGATAAACTTTAAAGAATTTAATATTCTCAAACGAAATGAACACATGGCAATTATAAACATTACAATATGGAAAAACCAAAAACAAACATAAAATGAATGAATAACCTTTTGCATAAGTTGCAAATGTTGTAATATCTTTTCGGTGGTAATAAAACAGACGGTTCGGAGGTCATCGGTCACAGGTGCCGACTGTCGTGGTGTGATGGTGTGGCCGGGACACGTTGAGATTCCAGTTCGAATCGAGCGGTATGGGTGAAGCAGCAATAGCCTTTTCCACCGATTTTTCGTCCTTAAAAAAAAGGAACGCGTAGTTGTGCAACATCTTAGCTCCAGTTTGCTTGTTGTAGCCCTCGTACACCTTCACGTAGGTGACTTCACCAAACTGCTCAAATAGTAACTTTAGCTGGCCGTACTTGACGTGTAACGGCACGCATCCGATAAACAACTGACGGGGGTTGAGCTTGCTCGAAGTGACATTTTGTTGCGGCTGACCACTACCACCACCGGCACTGCCGCCGATGGCATAAGGAGAGCATATTGCTGCGAACCGGATACCGAGAGTGTTGGTCGTGAAACGTGATCGGAGAGCTGCCAACTCGCTTAAATCAGGTCTGTGATCAGAATTTTCGTTTGAAGCACCGGTGGGTATGGTCGGCCAGTGCGCATCAATTTTATTAGACGACGGTGATAGCGACTGCAACCGCGAAAACGTATAAAAATACGAAAACATTGGATTTGATGACGTGGAAGTAGAGTACGACAACGGAAGTGGCGGCGTCTGTGATGGTGACGTGGACGACAAGGACGTTGGCGATGACGGTGTCGACGACGTCGATGACGTTGCATATGACGATGATGATAACAACGACGAGGACGACGAGGACTGCAGCGATGTTGACGACACGCTGATTTTGGACGAGGACAAAATTGATCCTCGTCTGCGTGGTTCGAAGCACAGTACGTCGTTGAGGATCTTTCGCGTACTTACGTCGATGACGAACAGCTGGACAAATTCGCGGTACGCCAACGCACGTCCTGGCCGCGCCACCTTTGGCACGACGCCTACGATCAGCGCCACTGTCGTGTCAGGAATGCTGCCGCTGTAACCAGACCAGCAAGTCTCCACAGCCCGCAGCTTCACGCAACGATTGTCCATAGCCAGTCGGCCATATTGTTTGCGGATGGCTCGCGGACCTGTGTACACGCGTCCACCACCACCACCGTATGCTCTCGTATACGAAAACCGAGCAGCAGGGTCGTATTGGTGATAGTCGGTCCGGGTGACCGAATGTCCGGGTAGGGTTGTGTAATAGTCGCGGACCACTGTTAAACCGGTACACAGGGCCGTCTGGAAACGGACCAGGGAACCGCGATCCTGTCGCCCGGCCCAGCCCTCAAAACGGCTGTGGAACGATGTAGCAACTCGGTCACCATCCTTCTCGCTGTTGCCATCCTGCACGCCGTCGCCATCAGCCGCGGTGGTCAGATAAAAGTGGTTGGAGACGACGGCTCGACGGCTGGCTGCCCGCCAATGGACGATCAGTATTTGTCGCCGGTACCCGTCCTCAGCCGCAAGTACAACGATCAGCCCGTCAGAGCGTGTCCGCTGACAAGTCACGACTGGCCATCCGCAGCCACCAGAAACATTCAGCGACGCCAGCCGGTCGGCGATTTTCTGCGCGCCGGTCGCCGGCTCAGTCCACCGGCCGTCCCCAGTCGCCTCAACGAACACTGATTGCCGGTCGTAATACTTGGACATGTGGTCGACTGGAGCACTACGGTATGCAGACAGAAAATCTTCGCACCACATTCTCTGTTCTATGGGTTTCGTTAGTGGATATTTTCTTTAACTATGAAGTGCTTAGTTCGTGATGGATAACACAAAGTGGTTTATTTAATTAACAAGATTATAATCACATCATGACGACAAACTGAATTATGGTTTC